AAAAAAAACGCACTCTCGATAACGCATCTTCCTCCTCTTGCGTAAAGCCACTGAAACAAACAACTGGGATTCCTTTTTTCTTCTCAAAATGCGCCCTTTGCTGCTCGATCTGTTCAATCGTTGGAGGAGGTGTTGACAACCTGAATGAAGTATTAGGCAAACATTAAACAGTCTTTTCAAAGTTAGCCATGCAGAAAAGCCCACCTAAGCTTTTTATTTGAGAAAATCTTTTCATCATTTTCCACACTTCGCTTAAGTTCTAATGCATGTTGCCACTGTTCATTAGTAAAAACTACCGGTCGTCTCCAAGCTTCTGTAACAGAAATCCTACATAATAAGGAAACGTAATTGAAGCAATCGACTTTTATCCACCACTGTTACCTAATAACCGCTTAAACTCCGCAGAGTAAAGTTCCAAATTGTACGGGGATATATTGACTTCGTGCAGAACTCCTGGTGTTGGGTAATATTTTTCGTTGTCGCTATCCTGTATACTTGTCTTCTTGCCAATGTACAACTCTATTAACCACAGATAGCTGACAACAGGAACTTTCAATTCCCGACTCTTATCCAACCTTTCCCCGTCGCACCTTGAAGCAGAACTAATCAATCATTTGACATATTTATAATCAAATTCAACAAACTACACTGTCCAGCAAACAATGACCTAATGTAGTGATGAGTTTAAAAATTTCCATTTCCCCGAGAAACCTATCGTACTGAGAGGAAACAAAGAAATGCCGCAAAACGTTGGATAAACTAAAAAACACCCTTACCCTTTGGTAACCAGAAAGTGGTTGTGCTTAGTGAGATAAGGCGTGAAACGTGCTCCAATTGCTGTAATCATCATTCGTACAGCACTTCGCTCAGTTTCATCAAAGCCATTAATTGCAATTATCTACAAAATATTTTTTTTTATCCATATAAAAATGCATAAGACAACTTTTGACTGATAAAACACTTATTGTAAAATTTGTATAAAACCTTGTTTAATGCTGGTCGCTTTTCTGAATAACAGGTAGGTAAGTGCGCTACACGCCACGGTGGCTCAAGACGCTTTTTAGCAAGAATGTCATTCAGCCACTGCAAGGTAACACATCTTTTCTGTTCCTCAATGACCTTAAACAGAATCTGAATAAATAAAGCAAAACTGGCCCGATTCATAATATAAATAAGTTTAAGCTTGAATAAAATTAAAAGTTATGCAACAGACTGACAGCTTGTACTTGCGGGTTTGAAGTCGTTTCGCATATTACATGGGTTATGCGATCGGCTCCAACAGTGCTCAAAGCCCGTGGACCGTACTCAATCTCACCACCGTGCATACGTACAACTGCCGTTAACTCTTTCTGATCCAACTGGTCCACCAAAAACCGCTCATTTTCCAACACAACAAAATAACATCCAACCAGACACATGTCTTGCTGCACTTAAATTTAGCCAAATATTTTAAAGAACTTAATGAAATAAATTTCAAAATTTCTTTAAAATTAAGAATCTTAGGAACAGTCAAAGACGATATTGCACAACTATTTCAAAAATAGCTAAAAAACTATTTTACATTGCACAATCAGAACGCTTAAGTAGAAAACACGTAATTCGGTGAACAATGGAAGTGAACTAAATGCTAAGCACAAGACATGATTAAAACTCATATTTATAATGATAATTACCGTTAGGAGCGATATTTGGTTCATGGCCAAAGTATGGTGAAGATACCATTCGCATATGTTGCTGGGAAGGTAATGTTCCAGTACCTGCTTGCAAATCCACTGAAAAAAACTAACTTATTTATTCATTCAAAAGATTCATTCAAAACTGACTGTCAGCACACTAAATGAAAAACAATATATAAATAATACTAAGCGAACACAAGATTTAACCGATAGCCATTGACAAGTTACCTCATAAAGGATAGCTACGACAAGAAAAAAAAAAAAACAAACTATTTGATATACTACGTTGCAATGGCGGTCCATTAGTTCCAACAGGCCCGACGATCGTTGGTGGTGCACTTTGATTTACTCCAGATGGAACCATCTGAGCCTGAGTAGGAGAAATCAGCTGAGGTGAACGCATATCGTGCCCGGCTTGCGGATAACACGGACTAATCCCGGTCGTACTTTGCACTGGCGTTTGGTATCGTGCTTAAACAACTTGTCTCATATGTGCGCCACAGAGAAACAATAAAAATGCTTCAAGTAAATAATATAGCGATGACGTAATAAGGGAAGAAATAATAGCACTAAAACTTCATGCCTATGTCTAAAACTGCTTCTTGTAATGCACTCGTTGATTTGACTTATGCTGTCGCAACACTTGTCCTATAACTTTCAACTATGGAAGTCTGACCCCTAACTTCTTTAAGGCGTTCAAAATTTCATTACAGACAAATACAGACTAGAACTGCTCACTTTCATTACTACTGTATCTCTTGATTCTCCCTTCCTTTCGACCTCAACATCACTTTCCTCTTCCCACTAAAAACTCCTCCCTTACCCTTTTTTTACAGCTTACTAAATTAATTCTTTTTATAATTTTGTTAAACTGATTTCGGCAGTCGGCCATCCAGTCAAGTTAGAAAGAGCAAAATCCTAATCATTTGCAGAACAAAAAAAGAAACAGACAGAAGAAATGAACAGTATAGCCCCTACATTACAGCTCCTTATTGCTTTCGGAAAAATTTAGAAATCAGAAGAAACAAAAGAATTATTTCAAAGGATGAAAAATTGCACAGCCAGCAAATACTTGTTGTCAGGTTGCTGCAGATCCCTGTAGTAAACTGAGACTCCTTCAAAAATTACGGTGTACTAACAAAGAAGAATCATGAACACATCATAAGAGAATTCTACTCCGCTTAAGAAATCCCCTTTTTTTCCTTTCTCATTAAATAAGAATCTAAAAGCCAGCCAGTATATATCCAAAAACCTATGCCAGAATGTTTTCTTGGATTAACGTCGCTTTAATTTAAGAACTTTTGACCAAAACAAAAAATACAAACAAAACTTCCCATAACCAATAAAGAGATAAAACGATTATTTTTTTTAACAAACAGGTCTACGACAAACAGACTATTTTAAAAATTTGCTTACAAACCCACAACTTATTTCTTTCACCTGGGTCCCTTAGATTTCAATCTATCAAAAAGCACATTTTAACAGCTACATCCTGCATATCTTCGCCTTATGGCGGTAAAAATAAATAATCAAGACAAAAAAACACTGAAATTGACCAGATGAAAAGCACGAAAGTCAATGTTGACCAACACGAATGAACCAAACCGTTATGATGACCACCATAATCATGATTAACCAACATGAAACAAACTCTGCCTATAGAATATTCGCAACTTTGCTCAAATCATCATCATCAGAGTCAATTTGTGGTAAATGAAAAATGTGAAATAAGAAATAATTTTTCATCTTTTTTTTTTGGCCCTAAACCTAATTTCGGCCGAAAAGTTCTTCGAGTCTTTAGTAACACATTATTATCTTAACGTACATATCGTCTGCTATGCCGACGATAATTCTCACCCAATAAAAAAAAGACAGACAAATATTACACGTCGTATAACACACCTTATGTACCAAATCAACATATCTCCTAAAAACAAATGCTTTACAAATTATTTAAATAATTTCTTTTCCCCCTCACTCTAAACAGCCATCACTGATCTACCCGACAAAAGTTCACTTCACATAAAACGGAAAAAAAAAAACGA